TGCTCTATATATAATCATTTGAATCGTATCATGACCAGATCCGGCACACTCTTGATAAAAATACAGCACATGTATTGTAAGCACCTCGCTGGAAAATTCCAATCTTTGGTAACTGCTATACGTTAGATGGTCAAAACTCCCATCAGCCGTTTGTACATATGGATACTTATTACGACCTACGTAAGGGCAATGGTGTCCTGAACTACAGGCAAAACATAACGAGGGATTTTCATTTTTACAAGATCATTTTACCAGGATTCTTCTGAATCCCCCGTACGTGCATGGCGTCTATATGGACTGATTAAGCAAGCTACGACCACTCTGTCTAATGTTCTGTTCCATTACCATTGCTATTAACTATGAATAGTCTATGAAGAAGCCAGCGGCAGATGGTACCCCCTCTTTAGAAATATTAATGTCTAATAGACAGTTATTCTCTTAGTTAACGATCGTGTTATTACTGTAAAGCCCAGGGTGGCTGCCAAATGAATAGCTTTTAATTGCAGAACGGTATAGCATAATTGCTCAAGTCTTCACAATAGGGCGATGATTGACAACCTTGAGTTGATTGGGAACAGCGGGGTTTATGTGCATTTTTACTTTTACTGTGCTGCATTAAACAGAAAGTATGTGGAGGTGCGATATGTGGCCAAATTTAGGGCGACCTTACGGTGAAAGGCAGATTTTACGGGCATGTCAACTGAAGGCGGCAGACACTGTAATGTTTTTTTAAATTTGTTTTAAACTAAGTTCCTCTTATTCTCGTAGGTTTCCACGAACTTCACACGGATACGATATTCAGTTACGTAGATTGTTTCTAAGAAATCGCTGGATAATGGTATGCGAAGTAAACTGCGTATGATATTCCTATATGCTGTAGAGCATATTTGGATGGTACAAACTATATATAATTACAACTAGGTTCATAAGGTCCTTGGACATTCAAGTACATTGTCCTGTTATTCGACAGACAGGCACTTTTGTGAAATGTTCTATACTCGTAGATAAGAATTGCACCATACCAATGTATGTATCTACAGGTCTGGGAGACCTGTTGTATACTCTTTTTTCACGGTAGCTTTTCAGGCACTAAGGCCATTGTCAACTGTGGAATTCCATAGAGTCTGAATGGGTCTAAATATAGATACAGTTGATAGCTGTGGCACACATGTTCCATCATTTTGTATCTCACGAGGGCCCATACAATACGATGGGTGTCCACTTCCGGCTTTAATGTATCGACATTTTAATTGTCCCAAAAGAAAAGATTGCTGCACGGATATCAACAGAGGTAAAGCTATTTCTGTCCGTGTAGATCCACATAAAAATGGTTACACGTCAAAAACTTAAATGCAAAACAAAGTAAAACATTTGAAGGACATGCAGCCGCTGTCTCATTGGTTGATCTGTTAATTGCCTGGCTATCATTGGTTGAACTGCTAATTGTGACGGACAGTTATGATCGGTCTGTTGAACGGGACGTTAAAAGCTGGGACGTTAAAAGCCGAGACGTTAAATGTTTGGGACGTTAAGTGCCGTTATTTGATGGAAAAAAGTGGCTTCCTTCCCAAAGGGAAACTAAAAACATTTTACGGAGAGAATAAACATCGCTTTGTATCAACAGTCCCGTTTTGCTTAAGTGGGTGAAGAGAATGGCCATGAATTCCCAGTTGAAGACACTACGTTCTTTGATACAATACATTCTATATCAGAGCACACGGCATTTTCTAATCTACAATGCATTCTACATCAAACAATGCCGTGTACTCCAGATTTTGGTGATTGTGTCATTCTGTTGAAGCAATAGACACAAAGAGTCGTAAATCATCGTTTGATAAATGGCACAATTGCCCTCACCACGGTTGGATAAGGCAGTGACTAATTAATCCAACGGCTATGAATGTTAATCACATTAACTGATAAACCGCCACACGCCGCGAAAAAGTTCTGTACTACGAATAATGAGCAAGTATGTATCTGTTTTTGAACTGATTTTTTTCTTTAGCCTCACACATGGGAGTACTTCTAGCCTAGATCTTCTTAGTTCATGGCTATCCATTCTGTGCCAAACTCATTTCCAAGCCGCAGTTGTGTGTAATATGTCAAGATTAATCCAAACCATTTTCATGGATGTCTACTTGAGATAAGGTACATTTCCACAAGGTACCATCCATATCGGCAAATTTGCCACAGAAAGCCTATTAGTTTTCGGCAAGTTAGTTCGCCAAAAGGTACTAAATATATAGTCAACGGCATTGAGTACGCTACGGCAAAGTTTGGTAAAGAAATATGCTATTCATTTCCACTACAAACCATCTATATTGGCATTAAATGCTCGACAGAAAGCCTGCTAGTATTAGTTTTTCGTGATTTAGTTCGCAATTAATTATACCTATTTTTAAGATCTAACATTTGATAATACATTCACCGGAAATTGACGAAACGATTTGCAAAGTGTGGTAAAGAAATAGGTTATATATTTCTACAATGACTCATTTATATCGGCAAATTTCCCACAGAAAGCCTATTAGTTTTACGTTAGTTAGCCATTAGATATATTTTCAAGATCCAAGATTTGATATAGGAACCGGCAATTGACTAAACTGATGCAAATTATGGTAACGGAAAGGCATGAGAGTTATTCACCTTTTACTTGTATATCTGACCTCTAAACCTGACCGACACATCTTGAAAGGAAGAAGAAGCGAAAGAAACAACATGTTTCATAGTCGGTGACACGAGCACTAAAATGTGTAACATTCCACTCAACACATCGTATATTAACTTTTTTTACTGCTTACTCATAGAAAGGATCGACAATCAACCAAAACATGATGTACGGTGGGCACATAGAAGGTCGTTCACTTATGGGTTAGACTCTAGTAAAAGTTCGTTTTTAGCACGTATGCGATCATAAACTGGATGAAAATGTATTGAAGCGAAGATAAAGGTATATATAATGCCCCATCACGACTACATTGTGTATATGAAGCATTGCAAGCCAGTACTGTAGATAATCCAAGGTGAAAGAAGATCACAATTCGTCACTTTTCTGGATGCCAAATAGCTCGTCTTCAGTGATAACAATTTCATACTTAACTAGAGTTCCCCGATCTCATACCTTCGCCAAATGATGTTAATCTTTATGACTGACAAATTATAGATTAGATTATTCCCCCCTGATTTAAGAAATAGGAACATAATTTTCATGAATTATATCATTTTATAATAATCTCAACCAAAAAACAGTCTTATATTAACAAACAATGCATTCTAGCATTTCCAAATAAATTATGCAAATGAGGTCCTGATTTGAATAAATTATGTTTAATGATGTTCACCTCAATTTAACTTTCAAATACCACAAGTATGAAATTCCAGGCAGTTATCATTACATAATTATAAAATTTTCTCATTAATTATGCAAATTAAGTCATTATTAACATAATCAATATCTTCCTGTGTTTCTCTCGTTGTCAATTACCAATGTCACAAGCTTTAATTGTCCTATTATTGAATGCAGCTGATTTATAGAATTTCTCCATAAATTATGCAAATTACATCAATATTTGCATAATTGTCACATAATTATATTAAGCATCACGTAAGCTACCTACATACCAAAAATCACGACGATCCGTCAACCGGTTCTTGAGTTATCCCCTTTTGAATATTTTCAAGAATATATCGCTGCAGTTCCAGAGCAAGCCGCTAGGGGGCCTAAACTCACGTCACTTCTTCCCCAGCACAAGAGCTACCTACCATCTAAATTTCATCACCATAGCATGTCTAGATCATGAGATATCAAAACCGGAAGTTCAGCTGCAGTACCATAACAAGCCGCTAGGGGGTCCAAAATCTAATCATTTTGAGGTCTCGTCAAGACCTACCCACCTACCAAGTATCAAGACAATCCATCAAGGTCTTCTTAAGTTATCGTGTTGACAGACAGACACACACACACACACATACACGAACGCCCCTGAAAACATAACCTTCTTGGCGAAGGTAATTAGGTTTTCGTTTCGTGTCTTCCCATTGGTCCAAATTCGAATAGACCGTTAGCTGATGGAAGTTTTATCCTCTTTGACTCCTAATGGAGCTTTGAGAACGCCGTAACTTTATGACCTTTTTATAGGAGCCCTTAAGTGTTAAAACGATTGGCTTCATATTACCCCAGGGCCAAATTGTCGATACTGCGCTCACGAATGATACGGTTTGTTAAAAGTTTCAAATCCCGCGTTGACCTACACAGTACTAGTAGTGTGGACTTCTTTGACAGAAATCTATTCAAATTTGATACTATTCATGTATACCATCATAGAAGAAAACATTGTTTTTTTTAATCTGTTTCCAGATGTTCTTCTTCTGTACACACATAAGGTCAATGACCTGGGCCAGTCCTCTGTCACCATGGTAACTGTTGCTGTAGCAGACATTCTGTGATGTTGGGTTACATTATGCAGCAGGATAGAGTTGGGGGAGGGGCTGATCACCATTTATTGCTTGAGCAAGAATGAAAATGGCAATAGATCTAGTGAAGGTAAACATGATGCATTATGCATGTTACCTTTCTATTCTGACTTGCATGTATTTCCGACATCACATTTGAAAGTCACCTATCTGATTATAGGCTGGCACTTTTCCATTTGTCATTCGTGGAGGGAATAGATGAATGTCTTATCGATACAAACAATACACGTCTATCCCCAGCGGGTAACTGATACATAATAACATCATTAGCCACACTAAGTGCAAACTCACGAATAGATGTTGGGAACCAATCTCTCAACCATCTAGACTTTCAATTCTCTGCTGATTTCGTTCCGACGCTTGCTACGTGTATATACACACACCATTGCGTGTGCACTTAACTACCTCATATGCATCCCATCACAGGGTTGTGCGGAAGCGTGGCGGGGAATACCAGAGCTGCCCGGGCGCCATCGATCCAGGCTGGGCCGTACGATACAATAAACTCTGCTGAGAACGGACGCTGAACCCCCGCTGTTTGATGGTTTACCAAACAACCCGTAAAGGAATGACAGAGGAGGAGAGTTAGTGATAAATCTCATCTATCCCCCCGTCTCAACGGTCCACAGCGTTTTCCCCCAACACCAACCATGAGGAGGAGTCTATCGGGAAACGGGCCAATAAGACGGCCTGTTGCAACTGGTGAGCAGAATCACTCCTCGCCTACATTACACAGACGGGGAAGCCCGCGCCAAGACTGGCACTCAATGACCGTCTTCTCGGCGGCTCGGTCGATCTGGAAGTCAGCCTGGATTCAGCCAGACGAAACGCGGCCATGACGACAAAGACATCCGTCATACAGAGGAGCGCTACTTTTGATTCGGCCTGGAGTGAATCAATTGAGACAAAGATGGACTCGGAACCGTTGTGGGACGACACTGAACCCTCGGTGGACTCGGAGAGGACGTCGCAAACACCTGAAGGCTTTGGCTATTACTCGCACGGCGGTATCGTGGACGATGTTGACCCGGTACCCTGGTATAAAATCCCGGGGTTTCTCCACACCAAACACTCGGTGGCCGACAGGATCATCCTCAACGTGGGCGGGACGATATTCGAAGTCTCCAAATTTGTCTTGGATCGCTACCCAGAGACGTTACTCGGTAGCGAGGAGAGAGATTACTTTTACGACGAGTCTGTGAACGAGTACAGGTTCGATAGAGACCCTGAAGTCTTTCGGTACATCCTGAACTTTTACCGGACGGGCAAGCTGCACTACCCGGAGACGGAAACGCTCGGGACTTACGAGGAAGAGCTGATGTTTTTCCGGCTCGGACACGAGGCCCTGCCCGATATCATCAGCCCCTGTTGCCGGGAGTCCTACCTGGATAAGAAGGAAGCTCGGGATCAGCTGCGACAAGAGGAGGCAAAAGAGGCTCTGAAATTACTCAAGAGTAACCCAGAGGACATCCGGGCTGTAATATGGGCTGGGATTGAGAATCCTACGGGAAGTTGCATGTCTGCGGCGTTTTTCTACGTGATTATGTTCTTCATAGCGATTTCTATAGCGACGAACACGATAGAGACGTTGTATTGCGGCGCTACGGACAAGGAGGTGCCGATATACTGTGGGGAGAGGTACCCGCATCTTTTTTACGTCATCGAAACGTCGTGCGCGATGTTGTTTACCTCGGAGTACTGCGTACGACTGTTCGCCGCTCCGGATAGATGGCTGTTCGTGAAAAGTCCCATGGCCATCATAGACCTGTTGTCCATCTTACCGTTCTATCTCGCGCTGATTTTACCCAAGAATTCCAACCTCAGCGGTGTTTTCGTCACGCTGAGGGTCTTCCGGGTTTTTAGGGTCTTCAAACTCTCGCGTTCGTCAACCAACCTGAAGCTGCTAGGACTCACATTGAAAAGTTGTCTCAGAGATCTGAGTTTCCTGCTGTTCGCCTTGGCGATGACCGTGATCTTGTTTTCCACGGTGATATACTACGCCGAGAAGGGAGTACCCAACGGTAGGTTTACGTCCATTCCGCAAACATCATGGTACGTGGTGGTCACTATGACCACGCTAGGGTATGGGGAAATAGTTGCAAACACCGTGTTTGGCAAGATTGTGACGGCGGTGTGTTGTGTGAGCTCCGTCATTCTCTTAACTCTCCCAGTCACGGTTATCGTTTCAAACTTCAACAACTTGTACAGGCCGGATAAACTTAAAGACACAGGACCTCCTAGAAGGAATCCTCCGCCACTGGCCCCGAAGGAGTTGGAGATTTTCCACTCACAACATCGCCATCTCTTGACTTGTATTGAAAAGAGCACGGGCCACAATTTCACAACGTTACGGTTTCCTTACATGGAAACTGAACACTGGGAAGGGTGCTGCCATCAACACCATGGGCATGGGCATGCGCATGGACACGGACATGGACATGGGCATCTGACCCACAGGCATTCTCATTCTCATTTGTAACGTGGATACGAGTATAAACATGTACTCTTCTAAAATTCATTTCTTGAAAGGGCCACAGTTAATGAAACAGACATTAGTATTTGCTATCCATTTGTTTATCTATTACTGGTGCATTGGAAACAAAATTCACTGAATGAAATCTGACATTCAAGCATTCCTTAAAGCATTAGTAAAGGTTCCGTTATATCAGTGGACTAAGAAAACGTAGCCTTTACGCATGCTTTAATATATGCATGAGGCTAAATGTCCTATCAACACGGATAACTTACGTATACAACACGTAACGATCCGTATCTGACATGTCAAGAATCCTATGGATTGGTTACAAACTGTAGTGATCGATCAGACACTGAAACGACGATACAGGAGAAAAACAAACCCACAAAATTGATCATGTGCTTAGGGTTGCATCGGTGACCTCGCATGCTTTGTGTACATGCACAGTGTTTTGTTTGACCATATTTTGTATAGGGGAGTGAGAGCCAATAGGCACGCAGTATTTCTATATGCGATATGGCCTGATTGGCCAATTCGCACGGGTGGTTCTTCTTGCTGATTGGTTGTTGAGATAATTGGATCAACTGCCTTGGAACACCTGAACCTGCACCAGTCCTATATCGAAACTGTAGACAGTGTAGACTGCAGAAAACTCACTTCTCATCGTCCAAAGTACAATGTGTAGCAGCATCAAGTTGGTTGATCATCAGTTTGCACCTCACGTCGCAAACACCCAAGAGTCAAACAATTGTAAGTAGCGAGTTTGTCACATTGAAACCGAGCAATATATACGTATTCCTTCACGACACGAAGTTCTCTCTGTGTGTATGTCTGTGTACAATATGTCCACAATGGTTAGGAAAATTAGTGCTGTGTTTTCAGTTTCTGTCCTGAGAAAATTAGGGTCGGTAGACAGGAATACTCTCTTTTGTTCTGTTTTTAGATTTCGGCTGAAGTGATCTTAGAAATACCGTTAAACGATGTAAAACTGAAATGCGCCAATACCCATTCCTCAGTTCGCTTGTGGTGAAGCAAGAAATATTTCACCTGATTTTACTCAATACAATTTGCATCTGAAATGTGTGAAATAATGGATTTGTAATTAGATCGAAAATTCTGTTGCCTTGCCAGCAGTCAACCCAGAAAAAAAGGGACGAGGGACGGTTTTTCTCGGGTCGGTCCGGAAACACAACATTTTTTGTCTAAGCCTTACTGAAAAACACTTTGTAAGTTGTCAGAACAATGATCAGCATGTACACGCCACGAATCATGCCGAGTTTAATGGAAATGTGGCGCTGACAAATATACGAGCACTCCATGTGTAATGGAAGGCGGCTGTGTTATGTATTTCATCTCAGCGGTACGTCGTTACCACCACACGGCTTTTGAAATTACGGTATACGAGCAGAGAAACAGGCCGGGAGCAAGCTAGCGCGATCAGGCAATTTCTATACGCGATGGTCTGATTGGTCAATTGGCAGGGGTGGTTCTTCTTGCTGATTGGCTGTTGAGATAATTGAATCAACTGTCTTGGAATACCTGCACCAGTCCTATACCTAACATGTAGACTGCATGCAGTAAACTCACTTCTCGAGCACTACATGTGTAATGGAATACAGCTATATGATGTATTTCATCACAGAGTTACATCGTTACCGCCACGCGCCTTGTGAAATTACGATGTACGGGCAAAGAAAACGACGCGAGCGCGGCCGTTAGCGTTTTTCCCTCTCGCCTAGCTCTGTGATGTGATGCTGTTAAATCGGCATTCCACCCGACGAGGCAGCACATATATTAACGTCAGGTCCTATACTACCTGACTACATCCAGCTCCTGTAGGGTTAAATGAAGCGGCGAAGGGTGCATGTCATTCGTAGCATGCACAATTGCGAGGGAGTCGTATGAATACGACAACTTTAGGCCTCCTTTCAGCTATGGTGGTAAGCGCACTGCAACCATATCACGACCAAAGATTTGATTGTACAATGAAACATTCTACAAAGAACAATTTTTTAAACGTTTTTTGCATTTTCGTGTGTATAGAATCATACATCTGCATCTTGCATCATATTTCAATTATGAAGACAAGGCTAACACAAATTTACTTTGGTCGCCGTACGGTCGTAGAGCGATCGTACGACCTAGTGAAAAGGGGGTATCTATGTCGTCACAACTTACTTGGGAGTCTACTGCCAAGTGGCCTTACGTAATCTAGAACCTTTCTGGAGTAGGACCATGAATACGATTTGGCGACAGTTTTTTGTATTTGTAACGATTGTATTCAAATGAAGACAGATCCGTGCCATTTGAGTGACACGTTTCGTTTTAATGACAAACACCGACCGACCGACCGTACAAAAAACCTACGGTGGTTTGAGGGTTAACTTTCGCTTCTACTGAATTTACGATACATGTTTGTAAAAGTAATCTAGGAAATGGTATTTAGGATAACCCCCTTGGGTTGCCTCGCACATTTTTTGTAATTGTATATAGGTTATTGCATATTGTTGTCCTTTTAGTGCAAACTGCAAATAAACAAACAAACAATTACAAATAATCAACGCCCTTCAAACAATACGTCTTCATTTATCCACAACAAATGAACGATGCTAAATTTTCATACCCTTCTTACCACGACGTTTTGTTTCATCAATTTGTGATGAAAACAACAGACACTTTCCTGTACTCAGTATCCATTTTGTTTCTCATTAGAGTATCAAATTGCAATCTGGTATATTACCAGGCTATATACAATTAATAGTCATATAATTGCTGCATAAGATAACTGAAATATAAACGATACCCTGGAGAAATATTTGATGATATCAAAACATGTAAAGAGGCAAATTTATTGTTAAAAAACTAATTAGTTGCACAAGGAACGATTTTTCAGACTTAAGTACTTTTTTTGCTGTCTAATGTTTTTTGTAGAAAATGTAATATATTATCAATGCAACATTCAAGAGAAACATACAATCCCTACCCTTATGAATACTATATTACATATAAATGTATGAGATTGTCTATCATAAGCACGAGTATTGTATACAGACTCTTTGGCTGTAAGTGGAATTGTTTACAAATCTGAATACACATAATTTACAATGTAGTCGGTCTATTTTTTTGTCTACATTGTAAGATATAGACGTTCCACTAGAGGCTGCTATACCACTGAGCGACCAAAATTTTAAATTGCTCGACGAATTTTAGAGATAAAGGACGTGTTGTATTTTGAATTATAATTCAACGTATATTTGCATCAAATTCCAATGAAAAAATATAGAGTCACACAAATTCAATTTTGGTCTCTCAGCGACCGCTGTCTAGTAGAAAGGGTGTCTTAGCTGGATTTCAATTGATAAAAAAAGAAACCCTTCTTTGAAATTCAATGTACATGTTCCAGCATTTAATCTAGGGATAGACAAGACAGGACGAGACCAAGAATTCTCGAAACTGCTATATAAAGTACGATTTAGGCTGTAATAGAACTAACCACAGTCTAGGGGTACGCGACTGCCTCAAAAATGTTCAGTTTGAGATCGTACTATGATCATGCGACAAAATGTGACCAGACCCTAACAAGTGCATATTATGATTATAGAGAATCACAGTGAGTGAATTAAGGGCAGAGAAGGGTCAGCAGTTGGCTGGATCCCACGCGGCCTGGTCATTGGTCAAGGATGAGCACCCTTTAGAGGTTGCGCTTTCGGCCACCCTAATGGGCCAATAGAGCATTTCACCGGCGGAGAAATTGTTCTCCGCACCATTAATTTAATTTGCCGCCAGTAATTTGCCAACCTCGATATCCCACGTGAGAATCTTAATCGTTTGTGATCTGCGGCTTTTAATGTCTCTGCGTGGCGTCCTGCCAGAGCATCCATTATCGGCAAGTGAAAATTATCAAGTGCTGTACACGCCTCTGGAAGAGCGAGCTTTCAACACTCGAGATTGTCGTTGGAGTTTGAGTGGCTTGATGATATGAAAGGCGACGTAATGTCCTAAAGTGCGGTCACAGCGTCAATGTGTATAGACCACATACACGCCACGTTATAGTGATGAACGACAATTTTATCTGCAAACTTGTGCCCGAAGGCTAATTGCAAGGTAGCATACAAAATGTAAAGAGGTAAAAAAAAACAGTCTAGTCTGTAAATCTATCAGGCGTTTCTACGTACATTATTGAGTATTAAAAGGGTTATAATCATAATTTTATACTGTTGAATTCTATTAATCTCATGATCGTATCCATGCATGTATAAGTCTGTATGTTTTAATGTAAAACTTGAGTTACTTTGTCATCCACGAAAGGAAACCATCCCTACAACCGGCGTAACACGGCATAGTTTTGTGACTCTGGGAGCTCCAAAGGACATTTTCGGCAGCAGTGCCGAACCGGTGTCTTCTCCATCATTGAGCGACGTTTAGAGATCGCCCGATGTTGGTAGGTCACCAATGTGATAGATTAGGTTTTCAGGCAAAAATATAGGATAGACTCTCCGGAAATTCTGGCGATCAACCAATTTTAGCTATTGACTGTGTGACTCCAGCTTCACCAACAGTCTGCCTAACAACCTTTATAAAAGAAAAGCAGTACTTCGGCATATGTTGTGGATTTATATGGTCTTTGCCTGTCGCAAGCTCTCCCGTGTGCTGAAAACATCAAACGTCAAACCCTAATCCTCCACCCGTGACGTCTGCATCAGTACGCCGGTGTTTTCCCGTGTTCCTCCCGTATCTCTCCAGAACAGAAGACACTCGGGGGAGCGGATGACTCCACGGGTCCTACCTCCTACTAACTCTCACCACACAACACCGTCATCCTCACAATCCCCTCAATCGTTACCTCATATTCACTGACGTTCGCCACACAATTGATGGCAGGAAAGGCCACTGGAAATGACCTATTAACTCGACACAAAATAAGTTTCTTTGGTCTGCGCGATTCCCGAGTGCATGCTTGGGCCATTAGTATGAACCATTATGACATTTGAAATGCCCGCATGGCGCCATATATATTTATAGGCTATGACGTGGTCTATGACGACTTTCCTAGCTACAGGGAATAGATATGAGACTGGAATATTGTTTGTTTCAAGTTGCAAAGAATTCCATTTACTTTTATGTCTATTCCATCATTCATTTTGCTTTATAACGACGATTTGACAACAAGTAATGTACAACGGTAATGTGAAAAGAGAAGACAGAAACTTTTGAGTAGAGTTTTATCATGTATCTATCCCCAAATTGCCCTGTCTTATGCGTATACCGTAAAATCTAATAGTCAGCATTTTATATACGGTGAAATACCTTTTTGCCGGGTAATCATAATGAGAAAAATGCTCCATGCTATCGCCATGAAAGCTACCAAGCGCTCCCATGCAGGGCGAAAGGATTATATGCATTAAAACCACATATGTATAATAACTATAAGAGGATTAAATTTCAAATCACGTCAGGTGGGAGTTTTAGATGTCATTGACTCTTGCGCACGTATGTATCAAAGTAGGATGTTGTACACGCCAAAATGCGACATATAAAGGCGGGGAAACAAAGTCAAAAGAGACTTCTTTTTTCACATTTTACATCGCCCAATTAAACGCTAACTTAAAGGTGTATCTGAAACTGGTGTTTGCAAGTAAATCACAACAATAGAAGAGTGCGTTATTTTTACTGACCGAAGTATTGTTTTGGGGGGCTGAGTTGTAGGTTTGTGTGTCTGTTCAAGTGCCGGCGGTTGCGTGGAGGTCGGG